ACTTTAAGCTTAACCTAAAGCTAATTAAATTATCTACAACTTCTATTTTATCATTTCTACACGTAGGATTAATAGTTTAGCCGCAATTTCGATCTAAAGAAGGTGTAAAACTCAAATGTTCACTTTTTGGAAAAAAATGACTATCTTCAAAGTGCCCTAATTCGGTAACTAATTGACTTATAGAGCTCGGGTTCGATACCCAATTCTAAATATTTTAATTGATCTTCATTAAAAGTTTTCGAAAAATTGCAGTCTTCACTTCTGAGCAGGTAATTTCTTTTTTCGGTTTCTGTTTTCTTGGCCCCCCCAGAGCTCCTTTCTTGCAAATGCAAAAAGGGATGCAGAGGTGGCTGTATTTGCCTGAAAGCAGGTCTCAAATGCTTTGTGATGTGTGCTACCTGCGCTGGGGAAACGTGCCAGAACGCTGCTCTTATCATCATCGAAGAGGGCGACGATGACGAGCCTCAAGACAACCCTGACATCCAGCAATACTGGACTCCCTACCTATAAAGGACCGCGACAACAATCCACCAATAGTAGAGGACCTGGTTGTTAAAGAGTGCAGCGAAAGTGACGGCCCAGAGCCATTCAAAACAAGGAGACGATTTTGATCTATCTTTGATTTATTGGTTATATACCTACTACAATTTTTATGACTTATGTTTATATTAAAAATACACCTCACCGTTTTTTTAATGATTGCATGGCAAATTTTTCTTTACCACACCAAAAAACAAAAAAATAAAAAGCTTTTGGAACATTTGTGGATAAATGCGATTTTACCTTATATCGGTTTTTTTGAGATTTAGAGATAACTACGAGACCTGCAGACCCCACTTTACGCTTAACTTAAAGCTAATTAAATTATCTACAACTTCTATTTTGTAAGTTCTACTCGTAGGATCAATAGTTTAGCCGCAATTTCTATCTAAAGAAAGTGTAAAACTCAAATGTTCACTTTTTGGAAAAAAATGACTATCTTCAAAGTGCCGTAATTCGGTAACTAATTGACCTACAGAGCTCGGGTTAGGCGCAAATTGTTACACATTTAATACTATTCAAAAACGTATACAATGACGAAAGTCGAAAAATGCAATAGTTAAGGAAATATAACGCAAACTCTCCAAAAATTCCGAAAATTTCGCGGTTTTTCGTATACTACACTTTTTCCACAACTTTTAGAGAGTTGCAAACTTGCGTATACACTACTCTAATGGGTCCAAACAACATACTAAAAAATCAGAGATACATCATGTTTTGCGAATTTAGCGATTTTTTGTGTCGATTTTGACTGGCCTAAGGATAAAGTATAAAAACATTAGAGGAATGTCGGTGTTGGTAAGCAGATATATAAGGTATCATTGTTTTGAATGACGGTATATCAAGTTACACAGCTATCTTACATGCCACGAGACGATTATCCCTTTAATAAAAGACTGCATACGTTGCCATTTCAGTAATAAAGTTCCATTTTGCCAAGTTTACTTAGCTAATTCTTTTTTTTTCAAAATATCTTTGAATTTAAACCACCATCATTTTAGTAGAAATTTTAGTGATTATTGTACTTCCATTCCTTTGTATAAGTTACTTACTTATTAACCGTGCATGATGAGAGCATAACTATTTGTTTATATGCAAGTTACAAAAAAGGTTAGGTATCACTTAAGAAAAACAGCCCTCACCATTTTCCTACAGCTACTGCAAAGTGTTGCCAGGTGCGACGGGATTCATGATTCATTGGTGCCGAAGCTATTTTACGCGGACAAAGTGCGGACTGCAGTGACGATGGACATTGGAAATGTCTCTAAATTACTATTTGTACAGAAGAAGGAACCTATGTGCAATTTTTCTGTATAAATGCAACAAATTTGTAAGACAAAACAAGCATTGTTTCTTTGATAATCTCGTATTCACAGAAAAACGATGCCATTTTTTTCATTTCTGATAAATGATTTCACTACCAGTAAATTGATTTTTTTCACTACTAGCGTCTGATGACATGATTATGAACCTTTTTTCCACTTGTAAAGTAGGCTTTCTCGGCAGTTGTTCAAAGTGGTTAATAATGTGGATATTATTAACTAGTAGTCAATAATGAGAACTGTCACTTTTAGAAAACACAACCCGAAATTTCGCTCAATAAACGTTTAGACAAGTTCTCTAAAATGAATAATTGCCACCATCAGCCATTTCCAGAGAAATTACATAGGTATCTAAAATTATCACATTTTGAAAAAATTCGAACGAAATTACTCTTTGAAAATATCTCAATGACAGAAAAAAATACGGCCTGGTTGACCTCTACTTCCACGTACTTGATTGACATGTTAAATTAATAAACAAAAAATTCTGTCTAACCGTTCACTTTCTTATCACTATAATATGTTAATTTAGAGGACTTCAAATGCTAGTAGTGAAAAAAATAGTATATATACCACGGTAGAAGAGAAGTCTATTATTGCCTTCGCACCTTACACCCCTCGGCGCAAGCGCCTCGAGATGTAATCTGGGTACTCAGGCAATAATACTGGACTTCTCTACCTTGATATATAATGTACTATTATTACTAACAGATTGTATAAAACACGAGCGGCCGATAAGAAGAAATAGGTTGCCGCTTTGTAATGACCGCTATTTGCGGAAAGCTCATTACTCTCTTCAACTGAAAGCTGAAGGTACGACTAGCTTTGCTGCCCAAACAGATATGGTTTTTGCATGTTGTTTACTTCAATAGCCATGTCACAACTGTTTTTCTAACCACTGGTAATTATATTCCAGAAAATGATGGCAAAACGTACAAGTGGACCTAACGCATATATACGGTTTCCTTTTAAAGGAATTTTTCAAAAGAAATTGCCCTTATGTGATGGTTTTGTCCGCCCGTCTGTTCGTTCGTATATCCATCTGTTCCTCGTCTAAACGTCGAAAACGAAAAGAAACAGCGACGTTAATCCTTCGCCAATCGATTTCAAGGATTAGTGCTAAATATTGAAGAATCCTTAGCTCGGTCCACCACTTTTTTAACGTCCATTTATTTCAACCTTGCAAAATACTAATAAATAAATTCGAATCTAGGGCATCATAATAATGCTATTTCCCAACGATCTTGGTGCATGAATAACGATTTTGACATGATTTGATCAGAATACTTATGGTCAACAAAAAAGTATCAAATGCATGGCTTGGGTATCAAGATAATGCTGTTTGTCTTTTTCCCAACTATTTTGGTGCATGAATAATCTTTTGACATGTTTTGATCATAATACATATGGTCAATAAAAATACATCAAATTCATGTTTCCGGCATTGAAAGCTTTTACAACTCTAAATTCATGTGTGAAGACTAATTTTGGGTACATTTTGCTCTAAAACTTTTGACCTCGACCACAGAGAAGAATATTGAATTGTTACACATCTAAGTATCAGGGAATAATCTAGCGACAGTCCGAACTCGATACATGACCTAGGCAATGAAAATATGTTGATTTCTATTATACTGAGCCCACAGTGTTTCCTGTTCCCGTTTCACTCGAAGTGCTATAACTTTTGTTCCTGTTGAGCCAGCTTCCTGAAAATCAATAGCGTCCGACCCTCGATACGACCTTAATGTCCAATAAGTATCTACTCGTACGCCATTTCAACATGATCGGTCACTTTTAAAAAGAGTTATAGTGCACACGGACGAACGGACAATACAAAACTATAAAGGCTCTGAAGATCCTTAATAAATTAGTGTAATTTCGAGTTTTGAACAAATAATAATAGGTATAAAGGTAACGAAATACATTTCAATTGAATTCAGCTTTTTTTCGACTTCTAATAATAGCATTGTTTAAAGACTTTATAATAAAATCCATACATTCTGGGTAAACTCCCATACAAACGAATACCGAACGATCTTCGAAATTGTTTTTGGCTCGATAGTCTACCTCTACGTAGCTGAAAAACAATAACGACCTTTCTGATTTGTGTTAAAATTTTCAAAGGGATATGGGACGTTTTTAAGCAGTTATCGTGCACACTGACAGACAGACAGACAGAAATACAAAATTATAAACGATCTCGAGGATCGTTAAATGTGAATAATCCACATTACGTCAAAAAAATTGGGCAAATGTTACGATTTACCTTTTACAAGGATTGTATTGTAGGGACTTGAAATCAGAGTGTATTTACTGCACCGTCGCATGCTTTTTTTAATACAAACTTAAAGCAAAATTTACTACCTACCAGATTTTAATGATCGTAATTTATCTTGTTTGAACGCAACTTACTCACCCCGGAACAAAAATTATTATAAATGCTCGCTTAAACACACAATAGG